TTGTTTGTAGTTCTCCTTTTTGATGGAGTCTTTGCCTGGTTTTGGGATCAAGGTAATGCTGGCTTTGTAAAATGAGTTTGGAAGTTTTCCTTCCATTTCTATTCTTTGAAACAGCTTCAGAAGAGTAGGTATTAATTCTTCTTTAAATGTTTGGTTAGAATTCCCCTGGGAAGCCCTCTGGCCCTGGGCTCTTGTTTATTGGGAGATTTTTGATTACTCCTTCAATTTCCTTAGTGGTTATGGGTCTGTTCAGATTTTCTAATTCTTCCTGGTTCAGTTTTGGTAGTTTATATGTCTCTGGGAATGCATCCATTTCTTCCAGATTATCTAATTTGCAGGCGTATAGTTGCTCATATATGTTCTGACAGTTGTTTATATTTCTTTGGTGTTGGTTGTGATCTCTCCTCTTTCATTCATGATTTTCTTGATTTGGGTCATTTCTCTTTTCTTTTTGATAAGTCTGGCCAGGGGTTTATCAATCTTATTAATTATTTCAAAGAACCAGCTCCTAGTTTCTTTGATCTGTTCTACTGTTCTTTTGGTTTCTATTTCATTGATTTCTGCTCTGATCTTTATTATTTCTCTTCTCCTGCTGGGTTTAGGCTTTATTTGCTGTTCTTTCTCCAGCTCCTTTAGGTGTAGGGTTAGGTTGTGTATTTGAGACCTTTCTTATTTTTTGAGAAAGGCTTGTATTGCTATATATTCCTCTTAGGACTGCCTTTGCTGCATCCCAAAGATTTTGAACAGTTGTGTTTTCATCTTCATTTGTTTCCATGAATTTTTTAAATTTTTCTTTAATTTCCTGGTTGACACATTCATTCTTTAATAGGATGCTCTTTAGCCTCCATCTATTTGAGTTCTTTCTGACTTTCCTCTTGTGATTGAGTTCTAGTTTCAAAGCATTATGGTCCGAAAATATGCAGGGAATGATCTCAATCTTTTGGTACCAGTTGAGACCTGAGGATGTGATTTATTCTGGAGAATGTTCCATGGGCACTAGAGAAGAATGTGTATTCTGTTGCTTTGGGATGGAATGTTCTTGAATATATCTGTGAAGTCCATTTGGTCCAGTGTGTCATTTAAAGTCTTTATTTCCTTGTTGATCTTTTGCTTAGATGATATGTCCATTTCAGTGAGGGGGGTGTTAAAGTCCCCTACTATTACTGTATTGTTGTCGATGTGTTTCTTTGATTTTGTTATTAATTGGCTTATATAATTGGCTGCTCCCATGTTAGGGGCATAGATATTTACAATTGTTAGATCTTCTTGTTGGATAGACCCTTTAAGTAGGATATAGTGTCCTTCCTCATCTCTTATTACAGTCTTTGGTTTAAAATCTAATTTGTCTGATATGAGGATTGCCACCCCATCTTTCTTTTGATGTTCCTTAGCATGGTGAATGGTTTTCCAACCCCTCACTTTCAATCTGGAGGTGTCTTTGGGTCTAAAATGAGTCTCTTGCAGACAGCATGTCGATGGTCTTGTTTTTTTATCCAATCTGATACCTGTCTTTCTATTGGACATTTAGCCCATTTACTTTCGGGTAACTATTGAAACATATGAATTTAGTGCAGTTGTATTGCCTGTAAAGTGACTGTTACTGTATATTGTCTCTGTTCCTTTCTGGTCTATGTTACATTTAGGCTCTCTCTTTGCTTAGAGGACCCCTTTCAATATTTCTTTAGGGCTGGTTTTGTGTTTGCAAATTCTTTTAGTTTTTGTTTGTCCTGGAAGCTTTTTATCTCTCCTATTTTCAGTGATAGCCTAGCTGGATATAGTATTCTTGGCTGCATATTTTTCTCATTTAGTGCTCTGAATATATCCTGCCAGTCCTTTCTGGCCTGCCAGGTCTCTGTGGATATGTCTGTTACCAATCTAATGTTTCTACCATTGTAGGTTACAGACCTCTTGTCCCAAGCTGCTTTCAGGATTTTCCCTTTGTCTCTGAGACTTGGGAGTTTTACTATTAGGGTGTTGACCTATTTTTATTGATTTTGAGGGGGGTTCTGTGTGCCTCCTGGATTTTGATGCCTGTTTCCTTCCCCGAATTAGGGAAGTTCTCTGCTGTAATTTGCTCCAGTATACCTTCTGTCCCCTCTCTCTTTCTTCTTCTTCTGGGATCCCAATTATTCTAATACTGTTTCGTCTTATGGTATCACTTATCTCTCGAATTCTGCCCTCGTGACCCAGTAGTTATTTATCTCTCTTTTTCTCAGCTTCTTTATTCTCCATCATTTGATCTTCTCTATCACTAATTCTTTCTTCTGCCTCATTTATCCTAGCAGTTAGAGCCTCCAGTTTTGATTGCACCTCATTAATAGCCTTTTTGATTTTGACTTGGTTAGATTTTAGTTCTTTTATTTCTCCAGAAAGGGTTTCTCTAGTATCTCCCATGCTTTTTTCAAGCCCAGCTAGTATCTTTATAATCGTCATTCTGAACTCTAGTTCTGACATCTTACTAATGTCCGTATTGATTAGGTCCCTGGCAGTCAGTACTGTCTCTTGTTCTTTTTTTTGAGGTGATATTTTCCATCTTGTCATTTTGTCCAGAGGAGAATAGATGAATGAGAGAACAAAATGCTAACAGGATAACAACAAGCCCAGAAAAATACTAAACAAATCAGAAGAGACCCGAAAACAAGGGAAAGAAAGAGAAAAGAAAAAAAGGATATGATCAGGCTGGTGAACAGATCAGTGCCACACACTAGATTTTGGGTGTATTTTGGTCTGTTTGAAGAAACTGCCTCCTAAAATTTTAAAGAAAGGAGAAACATGTACAAAAATAAGGGTAAATACAATGAAGGGATGGAATATGACTGTAAAAATGAAAATTATAAAAGATTTCATAAAATGAATTGATAAGTTGGTTGAAAAAAAGAGAAATTTAAAAAAAAGGGGGGGAGAATGTGATCAGGCAGGAGACTAGAACAAAGCCATACACTAGAGATTTAGGGTATATTTTGGTCTGTTAGAAGAAACTGCATCCCAAAATTTTAAAGAGAAAACAACTTATGTATATATACACCAAAAATAAGGTTAACTACAATGAATGGATAGAATATGACTCTAAAAATGGAAAAGAAAAAAGATTTTTAAAAAAGGGATTGATAAGATGTTGGTTGAAAAAGCGAAAAAGAAAAAGTAAAAAAAAAAAAAAAAGGAAAGTAAAATTAAAAAATTAACTTTTAAAGACTAAAGAATCATGGGAAAAAAAGCCATGAATTCTATGTGCTGTATTCCCCTAGTGCTGGTGTTCTGCCATTCTCATTGATCGGTAAACTTGGTCTTGGCTGGCTGTTCTTGCTGATCTTCTGGGGGCGGGGCCTGTCGCAGTGATTATCAGATGTCTTTGCCCAAGGCAGAATTGCCCCTCCCCTGCCAGGGGCTGGGCTAGGTAATCTGTTGGGGTTTGCTTTTGGAGCTTTTGTTCCCTGCAAGCTCTCTGTCCAGCTTTGGAGGATGAGATTTAAAATGGCAGCCTCCCAGTCTCTGCCCCAGAGGAGCTGAGGACCCGGGGCCCCACTCCTCAATGAGCCCCCAGAGAAAAGCAGTCATTCACTCCGGTCTCCCCCGTCTCTGGCTGCAGTCCGTGCTCACCCGGCCTGTGACCTTTCTATCTCTGGCACATGACCCCGTGTGGAGTCTCCAAACCCAGCAGATGCCTGCGGTACGCTCCCGTGCCACTCCTCCCAGGGGAGGAAGGGGAGTCTCCCCGGATCTGCCGCTTGTTGGGTCCCTGCTGGAGGAGCAGTGGCCCGACTGTGCCACAGATCACGGTTTATGGCAACCCCAAGCTGAGAGCCCACTCCTTGGCTCTGTCTCTCCAGCTGGCTTCCCTGCTCCGATACCTGGGATCTCTGCTGCACTCAGGCACCCCCAGTCTTTCTGTGACCCTGACGGTCCTGAGACCACACTGTCCCAGTGAGTGTTCCACCCCCCGCTTAGCCACTGGAGTGACGTCCCTCAGTGGAGCAGACTTCTGAAAGTTCCGATTTTGTGCCCCGCTGCTCTGTCACTTGCCGGTAGCCATCTGACAGAGGCTCCCTCCCCCTGCGGTCTGTCTTCCCGAATATCGCCTTGGATTCACTTCTCTCCATGGTCCTAACTTCCAGAAAGTAGTCACTTTTCTGTTCAGGGAATTGCTGCTATTCTTTTCTTCGATCTCCTGTTGAGTTTGTAGGTGTTCAGAATGGTTTGATAGCTACCTAGCTGAATTCCTGGGACCAGACAAAATTTAGGTCTCCTACTCCTCTGCCATCTTGCTCCTCCTCCCCTCCATACTGTTTTCCACAGTGGCTGCACCAGTTTGCATTCCCACCAACAGTGCAAGATGGTTCTTTTTCCCACATCCTCACCAACACTTATTGTTTCATGAGTTTTTTATTTTAGCTATTCTGACAGGTGTAAAGTGGTATCTTTGTAGTTTTGATTTGCATTTGCCTGGTGATGAGTGATGTTGAGCATCTTTTCATGTGTCTGTTCGCTGTCTGTATGCCTTTCGAGAAATATCTGTTCATGTCTTCTGCCTGTTTTTTAGTTGGATTATTTGGTTTTTTATTGTTGAGTTGGCTAAGTTCTTCATATATTTTTGGATGCTAACTCTTTATCAAGTATGTCATTTGCAAATATTTTTTCCTGTTTAGTAGTTGTTGTGATCCTTTATTTTTAAAATAAATTAATCTTAGTTATTGTTTTTCTTGTTCTGTTAAACTTTAAGTCATATATGAATTAAGATTTTATTTTTTCTTCCACTGTGTTTTTAGTCTCTGAAACCAATTTAATTTGTTTTTTGTTTTTTGTTGTTGTTTTTTACAATAGTTGCCACAAAGTGTATGTTACATTAGTTTCAGGTGTACTCTGGAACCAGTTTTTAGATGTCAGTTCATGAGTTCCTCCCTGGTCAATGCATTGTGATTCAGAAGTATTCTGTGGTCAGATATAAACACTATATAACTCCATAATTTCTCCTCAGTTTGAAGAATTTTTCTTTTCTTTTCTAGCCTTTAATCTAGACAACGAACAACCAGATTATGATATGGATTCAGAAGATGAAACCTTATTAAATAGACTTAACAGAAAGATGGAAATTAAGCCTTTGCAATTTGAAATTATGATTGACAGACTTGAAAAAGCCAGTTCTAATCAGGTACTGTACCTTGTAAAAATGTCTCCTGTCTTACAATTAATCCAGTTAGCAACTTTATTTTGCATTTTCTTTAGATCTGAGTATATTGTATTATACTGCCTTTTGAATTTTCCTGACATCCTAGAATTTCTGTTTACAGTATTCCTTGAACTGACCACTTAAGCATAATTTCTTTGAATAGGAGTATATAGAGTACTATTCTGACCTTTCTTCTTGTTTGTATATAAAAATAATACTAGCTGCAATGCTATATAACATATTCTCGATCCTTTTCATAGGCTGAAGTTGCTTGGTTGTGTCTTTAAGGCAGATATCTCATACCATATCCTTCTTAGTTGCTCAAATTTATTAAGGTACCCATTATCATTTTAGATGTATTTTAGTTTTACTTATATATTTAAAATTTTAAGTGAAGAAAAAATTATTCACAAGGAAATAATTTTCTTTAGTGGGTCATTCTAAATATGGTACAGAGAACTGAAAGTGGTATGGTCTTTTTGGAAAGCAGTTAGGCAGCATATGTCAGGAACCTTAAAATGTTTTTGCTTTTGGTTTAGTAATCCTGCGTCTAGGAATCATTCTCAAAAAAAAAAAAAAATTAGTGAAAATGTCAAAGATTTTTGAACAAGGATGTTCAGAATAACTTATAAGTCGTCTGTAGGGTGGAATATCACACAGCCATTAAAAACTATTTTGAATATCAATGGAAGTTGCTCGTTATATAATGTTAGAGTTCAAAAAAAGGATACAGATTTGTTTAAGTACAAAACTCTGAGATTCATTTAAAGCATTTACATTTATATGTGTGCATTTAATGAAAGATGAAAGCCCCACAAAATACCAGTAATGGTTCTATTTAGGTGGTAGAATTATTGGTGATTTTTATGTTCTTTATTGTTTTTCTGTTTTCCAAATTTACTGTTATGAACATGTATAGATATTGTAATTGGATTTAAAAAATAAACTATTTTTAAAAATAATTTCTTGGTGTACCTGTGTGTGTATTAATATATTAATTGTTATTAATGTAAGAAGTTACAGAAATAAATAAATGTTTTACAGTAGACCGTAAACACTTTTCACTAGTTTACCCATTACAAATTCATTATTTTCCTTTACTTCCCAACTTAAGTCCTTGAAGCATTACCAGCTCTTCAGAACATTTTAAAAAACTTCTCCATTTTGTGAAAGGACTTTGCTGCATATTTAGCCTTTCTACCAGTCTTTCCCCCCCATTTGGATGGAAAGTAATATTTGATGTGCAATCAAAAGAAGTACGTTGAAAACTGAATTTTGTAAATTTCAGCTTAGTTGGTTTTTTGAGAGCTTGACTTTTTTTATTGGAAATTTGTTTTAATTATCAGATTGAATATCAAAAATATTTTTATTAGCGCCCACAGTTTTCCTAAGATTTTGATCACTGGCATTAGGTGTGATTTCATTTTTCTTCTTAATATGAGACTTTTCTAGCAATCCTAAGTTTAGTCTTTATTTGGTATTTCTACTATTTTCCATGATTGCTCAGAAATTACTGGTGGTGAAGCCTTCAGCTCTCTGTTATGTAATTTGCTTTATTTCATTTCTGTCAATAATAGTTATTTAGTACTTAGGTGAGCAAGTTCTGCCCTTGGGGAGTTTATTATCTAAGTGGGGACAGGATAAGCAAAAAGCATATGTGAACAATATATTTAACGATCCACGTACAATCAGTAAAATATCTTATTTTACTTCTCTTTGCTCAGTGACAAGCTTTTAAACCCTAAAACTGAGTAAGCTCAGAGCATGATAGTACGTGCTTTCAGCAGTGTTGTAGACAAAGGTGGAGGTTCATCTTAGGGAAAGATAATGGTCCTGTTATTAGGACTAAGGATTAAAGATACCAAAGGTTATTCTCATTCTAGGTGCCTGAATTGTGGATTCATGGATTTCTTTATTTTTCCTTTTTGGCAGCTGACATAGTAGCAGATCTCAAAGCAAGGAATCAAGTTTGTGGTTAAAGCAATATTTAAAAAAAAATTTTTTTTAAGCAATATTAGGTTGGTAGAGAAGACATAAAAGATAGACTGAGACAAAGCTTCTTCCCCCGTCTTTCTGCAATGAAGTCATTATTGAAAATTCCTGTTGCCAAATACTGTGATAATTTTCAGTCCCCATTCATTTATTTTAATTGAGCTCTCCTTATTTCTTCAAACCCATCACCTTTGGTCTTTGGAATATACTTTATTCTTTCCTGATTTTTAAAGTTATTTTCTGTGATCATTCCTTCTAATTGTCTTTTACCGAGTCCTTTTCATTAATTGCTACAAACATCAGAGTTTCTTGAAATTCTGTTCTTGGTATTCTTATCCTATATGTTTGGGGTTAATATCACCTTAGCAAGGACTTTTGTGAGCATAATAATACATATATCCTTACCCTTGACCTCCTTCTCAAGCTCCAGGAGGACTCTTTTTTCTCTTTTCGTGCTACCTGTTGGCATCTCCATCTAGATGGTCCACAGACCTCTCAAGTGTAACTTTTCTGACATACTCTCTTAACTACACATGATCCTTTATCATATTCCTTATCTCTCCAGTGACTCCCAAAATGATGTGTTTTTTATCCCTTTTCCATCAGTCCCTAAATTTCTGATTTCTTCCTCAATGCACCTGTATATTCCTTGCATGTTTCATCTTTAATTATCTCTTCTCTCATTTCTTCAGTCTCTCTCTTTTTGCCGAAAAATGTGCCAAGGGTCCCTATTTCCAAGAGAACCCTTTCATTTCACCCCATCTTTCTCTATAAATTGCCACCCTTTGTCTCTCTCTCTCTCTTTTTTTTTTTTGGTCAGTCACATTTTAAAAAGATTAGACATATTTTTTAACTTTTACTCCTACTCCAATGCATTTCGGTATACTGATTGCACCCACATCACCAATGGCCTTCTCATGGTCATCCATCCATTTCAGCCTGTATCCTACTAAATATCTCCATGGTATTGGATGCTGTTGACCTCCACATTTCTCAAATCTTTTCTTCTTAATTCATTTCCTCTTCCTCTACATCATGTTGCTATTTCCTTCAGTATCTGTCCTCAGAATTTATACTTGTATCTTAAGCTACCAACACAAGCACTCCCAGATGGAGTATTTTGTGGTTCTGTCCTATATCTTAATGCACTAATACTGAGTTCTAAAGTTCTGATATTGTTCTCTTATTGTTTAAGTTGTATTTGTCATGCCTTGATTGCCATATTTTAAGTTTCTGTTGGTAGTAGTTTTATCTTGAAATTTTTTTCCCCAATTTACCCACAACCTATACAACACAGTGATAGGCTGATAGTAGTTATTAACTATTTATTGCTTAACTGACTATATTTTTAAAACATTACTTTTTATATATAATTTATTCATTTGTGTATTATAAATGTATTTCTTGATATTGCTGACCCATGAATCTGTATGTAAACAAACTAAGTGATCCTTGTCCTCGTGAAGCTAGTGGCAATCTAGAAGAAAAGCCCAGCTAGTGGAGTCATTTTTATCTCATCTCCAAGCCCCCAAAGTAAGTAAATCAAACAACTCAGAGGTATCCTAGAAATAATAAATTTTATCACTGACCTTTTTGTCAAGTAAATATTGGCTTCCACTGCTTTCTAGTAGAGAAAGTGCTAAATGGCAGAACTTTTTTCTTACGGTAGAAAAGTAGTAGGATTCTGATTTTGTGGAATTTTAATCCTGTGTCCTAATAATTTGGGACTACTTTATCTACAAATAGTTCTTGCCCACTCAAATTGATGCTGTCATTGTGATAATGATGCAGGTGATACTGCTAAGGATAATTTTAACAGAATGATTAAAACTCAGATTACCCAATAAAAACAAATTTATAGCAACATAAAAACATCAGTCAACTGAGAAATATAGTTAACATTGGAAAGAAATGTCAGGATGTTAAATTGTAAACAGTGTATTGAATTCTTATTACCTGACATATAAAGAGGGTACTTATCAACCAGGCAGAAGGACCTTTGTAAAAGGAGCAAGAAGCGCCAGAGAAGGAAATCTGAGGCTGTGTTAATCCCCTTACATCTCCTGCAGGAGGATAGGAAGCGGTGTTATCCTGATAGTATTATATAAGAAAATCACTACTGCTTTGTGCCTTCATAGGAAGAAACCTATCCTCCTCCCCACTCTAAAGTTAGAATATGTTCTTGATATAATTAGTGAAGGTTCCAGAATTTTATCAGAAGCAGAATGGCCAAAGAGCTGAAGATGTGTAGCATATCACAGCATTGTTTCCGTTGGTCCCCGGAGCACATGAAAGCTGCCAGTGATGTTATGATGCTATAAGCATGAGGTCGAATTTTATTAGATCCAGAAAGCTTGGTTCTTATTCTGCCACTGGCATTGTAGACTCTGGACTATTCCAGAGACCTTCAGCTAACAAAAATGTCCATCTAAAGTTGATGTTTGGAAATACTGGTTTTTTTGGTTAGGTCTCTTGTTCCAGGCTCTGGCTCTCCACTTTAGAGACCAAGTTACTCAGGCTTTCAGATGCATTTAAGATGACTTCACTGAGACATTGAATAAGCGAAACTATGGTCACATACAATTATATTGCATTAAATGTAATCATTACATGGACTAGAATACTTGAGTTGTCATTGTCAGTGTATTCTCTTCCTGCAGCCAGTCTTGGCAGCCAGATAATAAAGAAACCAACTAATTAGCCCTGGTAATCACCATCATAGAACTGAAAGTCCAATGATCATTGCATTTATTCCGTGAAGTTATACCAGTATGAAAAATCAGATCTCAGAAATTTATTTGGTTAGTCATGCTATCTTCAGTTGACTTCATACAACCCTCAGATCAATTCCTATATTGATCTTGCAGTTTCAGAGAGAAAATTTTCCCCATTTCCAGGTTTTAGGAAAACATTTCTTAGGAGATATCTCAACTTGTTTTGAAAATGAATCTTCATCTCCAAAATGATAAAAGTAAAAAGATTGAGATGCACTTCATTGAGGTTTTCCAGCCTTAAAACTCCATTATCTTTTTCTAGAGTTCACTGTAAATGGATATGGTTAACCCATAATCCATCCTGCTAAAGCTGATCAGTCTATTTGATCTTCACAAGCAGTAAGGAAACAGATGTGACCAAACAAATTTTTACAAACCTTAGTTTGAGATATGTCAACATTATATTGACTGCATTGATAAAGGAGAAGTAGATCCCTGAAATATCAGTGTGAGAGTTCCTAGAGGAACCATCCTAGGATCACTGTTCCACACATAACTATGTCATTAGCAAAATGAGTGTTGAGAACAAGGATTCTCTAGTACTTAACCAGTTTGGACAGAGGAATTGCCTTTATATGTAATTAGTACAAGAAATTCAAAATTGCATAGTGTTGAAACTTCAGGAAACATGCTAAGTTTGTTCTTTTACAATCTTAAAAGAAACTTGTTATATTATTTGCAATGTAGTAGAGAATATTCATCTTTCATTTTACAGGGCTATAGAAAAAAACCCTCTGTATCTTCTAGTTTTTGTTGAAAAACAAAAGCACAGAATCTATTAGACTGTTGAAAACTACTAGATCTTCAAATGTGTAGAATCACAGAATGTCAGAATTTTGATGGACCCTAGATATCATCTAGTCCAAGACTTAACTAAGGCATAAATCTGTTGCAGTCTTTCCAACTGTTGTTCATTTAGGCTTCTTAAATATTTTAAATTGTGGTACTTACTCTACCTCTCAGAGCAAAATATAAATTTTTAGATAAATCTCCTTATCAGTAAATTCTTTGTAAAATTTCAAAATTGAATTGCATTTTCTGCCATCATGATGTCTGATCATAATTGTTAGACTAATTTAGACATTTTTTCTATAGGTATATACAGCTTAACTTTGATTTCTCTTTTTCAAACCTTATAGTTGATGACAATTTGTATTTTTCATTTAGCTTGTAACACTTCAGGAAGCAAAACTGCTGCTAAACGAAGATGATTACCTTATTAAAGCTGTGTATGACTACTGGGTAAGAAAACGTAAAAACTGCAGGGGGCCGTCCCTCATTCCTCAGATAAAACAAGAGAAAAGAGACGGCTCTACCAACAATGACCCTTATGTTGCCTTTCGGAGGAGAACAGAGAAAATGCAAACTCGAAAGGTAATGTGCAAATTAGATTTAATTGAGTGTTCCTTAATAGTACTTAAGATCGATTTTTTTTTCTGCTAATAAGTTCAGTAATTTTGAATACCTTGAACATACAGGGGAGCTAATAACATTGTTAAACCTAATGTTAGAAATCCTGCTCTTCAGTAGCTTCCATCGGTCAGCTTCTATTGGTATAATATCTAATACCCATGCCCTTTATAAGTCTACTGCTTATACTGTTTCAGACTTGCAATTGAAGTAGTAAAAGGAATTATGTATCTTTATGTATCTCAGAAATTTCAGTTCTTCAGTAAATTATATATACATTCTATACATATCCTCTTGTTTAGGAAGCTTAAGAGCTTATAGCTCCTTTGAAACCACATTCTAATTCTTGCAAATAAAAATGGACTTTACTGCCTCTAGCTACTGTGGGGTCATGGGAAGTAGGGAAAAGTTCATTTTCAAGCCTGTTCTGCCAATAGTCAAAAGTAACAGTGGAATGTTTTTCTTCTTTTCTGAGTTGTCCATTGTGTCAAATTTCAAATTGATGAACTTATCCCCATCTGCCTTTCTGAAGCAGTGTGAGCTGGAATTTTAAGTTAAGAGAAAAAGGGTCTCATGTGGAATGATATGGTATAGAGGAAGATATTACTTCGGAGGGGGTATTCACTGTCTTCCGTTTCTCATATTTAACAGTAAACACCATACATAGTAACACATTCTCTAACATGTAAAAAATTAGAACATATAAATGTAAAAGCCATGAGGAATTACGATTTGGAGGCAAAGCATTTTCTGTGGATTCCTGTTTCTCCTAACATTAAAAGCTTGTTCTTGTCAGTTGTTAGTATAACAGCTGTGACGCATAACAGCTGCCAGGAGTGGTATATTTTAGGAGAAATTCTCCTGCTGGTTAACAACCATTTTCTGTAAGTCTTTCTTGGATTTCCCAAGTGTAGATGACATTCCCTAACCCAGGCTAAGTTTTCAATTTGGCTAAGGAAATCTAAGATACTTTATGAAGATTTAACGTCTTGCTTAGAAAAGACTAAAATGAGGTAAGTTTATAAATATAGGCTATTGATTCAGATATATTGCAAAACATAGACTTTTAGCAATGTCTTTTGAAGGAAGAATACCATTGGACTTCTTTTAGTGAGAGGGTAAGAAGTACTTAAAATTAGCAGTATTTATTGACATGTAAAAGAATAGTCTAAATATTTAAATTGGTTTAATCCTTAAATAGGTTAAATCACTGTTTTCTACCCAATTGTATATTGAGAATTGCTAGAATGGATTCCTATGTTTCCGTGCTTCACCATTGTGCAATAACTAGTACCACTTTTTCCCGACACACCGATTTCTACCCTTTCTCTTACCTGTTACTTTCACCTTCCTCTGCAGAGTGGTACATTTTCTTTTCTAGTAGTCTTTTATTCCTCTCTGTTTTCAGTTGTGGGACCAAAGATCCCTTCATGCACACTAATACTGCTTAGAAATGTTTGTTTCAAAATGAGAAAGTTGGGAAAGCAGTCAACAGTAAATACCCCTAGGTATTCCAGAGGTGGGCAAGCATTGGGATATACAAAAATGAATACAGCTAACAAAGGTTCTCTACTTCCTTTTCTGTTTCCACAAAATTGAAAACACGTGTATAGCTAGATACAAAGGTGCTAAAATAAAGGACTTCTGAAATATTTGCTTGGCAGTCTAGAATTTAATTTTAATTCACTAATATTTAATTTGCAAGTGGTTAAGTACTTAAGGACGTTCTTAAATGAGACCATCTTAAGGCACCAGCATGTCTGAAAGCACTGATTGGGAAGTCTTGAATCAGCATGTGTGTTTAATATGTTTAACCCCATAGATACAATTGTTGACATCTGTGCTTTCTCTCCTCCCTCTGTGTGGCCCAGAATAAACCAGACAGACAGGAGAGGAAACTGAGAGTAGTTGTTCTCAGTCTGGCTTCAGAAAACAATCTCCTGTGAATTATCCTTCGTTAAAAAAAAATCTATAGTTAATTCTAAAGTGCAGCAATTTGAAAAAGTAAAAAATAAAAAAAAATAAAGTGCAGCAGTTTGAGAACCACTTCCTAGAGATTTGGCAGTAGGTCAGAACTATAATATGTAACTGGGAATAAGAAAAGAGTTGGTCCAGAGCAGAGACCGTTGTGAGGAAGGAAGTGAGTGGATTTGAAAACAGGGATAGGGCCATCTTAAAAGCATGGAAAAAGTTTCAGTATGAACTCACTGTTTTTATAGAGAGAGAGTCAGAAATAGATATAGATCTATGCATGTATATGTATATACGTATATTACAGGTGTATTTCTTCTGTTTGCTGAGAGGGTCTAGAAGCAATGATGCTCAGTAGCAGTGAGCATGCCTAGCATGTAGATCCTGATTTTTAAATACCATTTTCCATTAAAAGGAACCAGGGCTTCTTAGTAAAATGGTGTTTCCAGGTCTAGGGCTAGGAAAGTATAAAGATAAGCTTGGAACATTCTGCTATGCCAGAAAGTAAGACTGTTGATAAAGATTAAAGAATGTTGGACCCATGTCAGAAGGCCTGAAGAGCCAGCTTGAAGGGTGGCTCTACTAACCAGATGTGGGAAAATTTGAAGTGTCAAAATAAATAGAGTAATGAATAACCCATAGAGTATATAAGTAACCCATGAGTCCATACTAATATAAATGAATGGATGGATAGATGGATGAATGGATGCTTGGTAGATTAATTGATAAAAGAGAACACTTTTTGTTACAGTAGAATTTTAACTTCCAAGTGTCACTGGAATGAAGAAGTTTGAAAATCACCATGATAGTAATAATAATAATAAACTATTGGGAGGAAATTTGATGAGAAACAAGGTAGTATCATTTAATTCCTGATACAAGAGAGGGAAACAAAATCATTTCTGTGATAGTCCTATTAAGAATATATAACCTGAATTTAATTGTGGAAAAACATCAAAGAAACCCAAACTGAGGAACATCCTACAAAAATGAGTGGCCTCTGTTCTTTAAAAATGTCAAGATCATGGGGGGGTGCCTGGATAGCACAGTCAGTTAAGCAGCTGATTCTTGGTTTCAGCTCAGGTCGTGATCTCAGGGTCGTGGGATGGAGTCCTGCGTCAGGCTCCGCGCTCAGTGTGGAGTCTGCTTAAGACTCCTCCCCCTCATATAAATAATCTTTTTTAAAAATGTCAGGATCATGATCACTGTAGAAAGACAAAGGAACTATTCCAAATCATAGGAAAATAAAGAGACATGATAACTAAAACAGTTGTAATCCTGAATCAGATCCTAGACCAGGAAAAAATCGGCTGAGTGAATTTAATAATAAGAATTGTCCCACTAATGTCCTTTATGGCAATGATTACATAAATATATAAAAATATATTTAACAATTATATTTGTTGCCATAAAGGACATTAGTGGGACAATTAGTGAAATATGAATAAAGTCAATGTTAATTTCCTGATTTCCGTACTAGTACTGGTTATATGAGAGTACCACTGTTTCTAGAAAGCCCATATTAAAGTGCTTAGGGATGAAGGGGCAGTATATATTCAACTAGTCTCATCTTTTTTTTAAATACGACTGCTAATTTTACATATTTGTGTATGTTTTTATATACATTCACGTTTATGTCTTAGTCCGTTTAGGCTATTGTAACAAAAATACCAGAGACTGAGTGGTTTAAACAACAAACATTTCTTTGTCACAGGTCTAGAGGCTAGGAGATCTGATATACAGGTACCAGCAGATTCAGTGTCTGGTGAGGGCTTACTTCTTGGTTCATAAGTCACCTTGCGGTGTCCTCATATGGTGGAAGGGGCAAGAAAGCTCTCTGGGATCTCTGGGATCTCTTTCATAAGAGTACAAATCTATTTGTGAGGACTCCACCCTCATGACTTAATCACCTCCCAAAGGCCCTTCCTCTAAATAACATCACATTGAAAGCTTGGAATTTCAACATGAATTTTCAGGGGACACAAACATTTAGTCCATGGTGGTATAGATTAAATAATATACATATATACGTAGAGATAAAATAAATGTAAAATAACATTTGGGCAATCTAGATGAAGATATATACGAATTTATACTGTTTTTGTAACTGTAAATCTGAAATTATTTCAAAATAAAAGGTAAAAAAAAGAGTAGAAAAGACAGGACTAGAGAAAGGAAAAGTTAGAAAAGGTACTTATTTGGGCCTAAAGAGAGCAAGAAACGACTGGTTAAGACAGGGCAGAAGCATACAGGCCACAAGGAACACTTAGTGAAGAGGGGGGTAATCTTAAAAGGTTCTGGTGCACTTTTAAATATTGTTCAGCTGGCATGTAGCCTTGTAGTATTACTCATCTTTTGTGTGTCTCATTCTTACTAGACTTCAAGCCTTTTGAGGGTAGGGGACCTGTGCAGTACTCTGTACAGGGGGACACTTTAATATTTGCTCTTGGATTGTTAATTTTTTTTCAGTTAGAAGGTATTATTGCTGCCTGCTTGCCAAAAATTTTTGCTCAAAACCATACTTTAGATTTTGCCTTTTGTCACGTAGTACTGGAAGGGGGGAGAAGATTAATTTCCTTTTGATAAGGTAAAAGACTGACTTATTAACATAGCATTTTAAAATCTAAATATGCAGTACCTTAATAGGACTTAGTTTAGGTTATGTTTTATAGGTGATGATTTTCAAATACAAGAAACTACGTATAAAAGAGAGTAAAACTTTGAATCTTTCTCAAGTTTTATTTTCTCCTTTATAGTCCTCCAGTATGAAACCTGGCTTCAGGTTCCTTCTAATGTGATATTGCATTCTTTATTTTGACAATAAAAGAGAGGGACAATACAAAAGATTTGGTTAATATTTACAAGTAATTTTTCACATCAGATCAATTAGGATATGCTCATAAATCCTTATTTCTTAAACTGTTCAAATGGTCAAAGCAGGTATTTATAAATTCTTTCTTTCAGAGTATATTCCATATCTGTTTTGCTGTCGGCAAGCACACCCAAGTATTTGTGATCCTTGCTTGATGAGGTGACAACAGCTTTTATTCCTGCAGAGCTTGTGTCCTTAGTAGTTATCTCTTTAATATATTGGTTTTTTTTTTTCTTTTAAGGTTTTATTTAAATTCTAGTTAGTTAACATATAGTGTATTACTAGTTTCAGGAGTAGAATTTAGTGATTCATCACTTACATGTAACACCCAGTGCTCATCACAACAAGCATCCTCCTTAATGCCCATCACCCATTTACCTCATCCCCCCACCCACCTCCCCTCCAGCAAACCTCAGTTTGTTCTGTATAGTTAAGAGTCTCTTATGGTTTGACTCCCTCTCTGTTATTATTTTATTTTCCCTTCCCTTCCCCTGTGTTCATCTGTTTTGTTTCTTCAACAGATGAGTGAAACCATAGGGTATTTGCCTTTCTCTCACTGACTTATTTCCCTTAGCATAATACACTCTAGTTCCATCCATGTCATTGCAAATGGCAAGATTTAATTCTTTTTTATGGTCAAGTAATACTTCATTTTATAAAGTATATGTACACACACACACACATCATCTTCTTTATCCATTCATCCTTCTATGGACATTTGGGCTTTTTCCATATTTTGGCTATCGTGGATAGTGCTGCTTATAAACACTGAGGTATATATGCCCCTTCAAATCACTATTTTTGTATCCTTTGGGTAAATACCCTAGTAGTGTAATTGATTGCTGGGTCATAATGTCATATTGCGTTATTAACTCAAGGATGCAAAGATTGCTTAAGTGCAGTCTGTCTGGATACATAGAATGAGAGGTGGTAATGGTCTGTTTTTAAACAAATAGTTCTATGCCTAATATAAATATTCTGTGGTTATTTGATTAAACAAAATATATTAACAGTAACTTTCATATGCAAATAGATGCTGCTAATTACAACTGAGCTTGTCTAGTTCCTAAGCAGGACTTTCACTCTGAGTTCTAATTAAATCTTATGCTTCAAAGTAGGAACTTCTTAACAATACTCTGAAATTCAGAGTTTTCACTTGTTTTCTACCCTGCAATGAGGTGCTAATTACCTTGAAACATAATAATTCCATTCCTTGAGATGCTTTATATCCCACTTTCAGTGTTACATCTTGAATTTCTGAAGTGAAGTTTTGCTTGTCATTGTATGTGTTTACATTGTGGTGTATTGACCCTTCCAGCCCACAATTACAGAGCTGGATGATTGGATGGAGACCCATTTTGGCTATTTTTAGGTAACCTTGATTTGACAGAACTGTTTTTCTCTGTCACTGGAAAATACCTTGCATCAATTTGAATGGACTACATTTTCTGGTATACTAGGTTTTGTTTCAGGCAGACTTTCAAAATTTTGTTTACATTGGAATGATCCCTTCTGTTATTCCATCTTTTCAGTAATGGGCAACTTTTTTTTTTTTATTTGAGAGCTATTTCCTTTCACTTCTATTTTCAGAGTTAAATACATAGGTTCTCTTATGTAGTTGCTGTTTAAGGTGATTTTCTACATTTAACATTTTTAACATTTTGCTTTTATGGAACATACTTGGGTCTCAAAAGATTTTGTTGAATGAAAATGGAAATGTGGATAATTAGATTAATTGTTTATTCTAAAATTATTTTCAATAGAATCGTAAGAATGATGAAGCCTCTTATGAAAAGATGTTGAAATTGAGACGAGAGTTTAGTAGAGCCATAACAATTTTGGAAATGATTAAGAGAAGAGAGAAAACAAAACGAGAATTATTGCACTTAACCTTAGAAGTTGTGGAAAAAAGGTAACATTGCTACTGTTATGTACTAATCACAGCTTTAGGCAAATGATGGGCAAAATATAACCAAATGGTATGTTTTGTTTTTTTGCCTAGCTTTAAAACAACTGAAATAGATTCTCAAACAAAATCTACATTTTTTGAAGAATTCTTATGTTACTATTTTTTAAAAAAAAATTAGATTATCAGTTTGGATTGCAAATTTGGGGAATATTTTTGTGTGTAATATGTATAGATCCTCTAATACACTTAATTTTTTTTTTTTTTTCAGAATCATTGGATTTTATTTAGAAAAGAACCTGGGGATCATTTTGACTGTTCTTTTTATTTAAGTTTCCATTAAAATTTGAGGGAAATGAATATTTAAATGATTTTATTTTCTGACTAGGTAGAAAGCGTTTTTTTGTTTCAGTGCATTTCAACAATGTGTTCTCTATGGGGCACCTGGGTGGCTCAGGCAGTTAAGCATCCAACTCTTAATTTCAGCTCAGGTCATAATCTCAGGGTCCTGGGGTCAAGCCCCCCTCAGCAGAGGACTCCATGCTCAATGGGAAGTCTGCTGGAGATTCTCTCTCTCCCTGTCCCTCTGTGTACCCCCTTCTGCATGCACTCTGTCTCTAGAATGGATAAATAAATATTTTTTTAAAAATGTGTTCTCTAATGTAATAGTCATTTTCCTGTATAATTAAATAAACTATACTAAGCCTAACAGAATTTTATGTGATTCCTAAGGTAAGCATTCTAAACATCATTTCCCAGTGTTTGAAAATATTAAATATATGAGAAATTTGTCTTCTGTGTCCCTTAGAGATTTTGGGGTTGTTTTTTTTTTGGTTGGTTTGTTTTTACTAAATCCCAAATATGAACTTCTTTATTCCTGTAAATTTTTAAAGAATAATCTGATTAATTGTTGATTCTGTTTGATTAGTTCTATTCCAGTTCATTGCAATATCATTTTTATTTTTTAAACTATAAAACATTTTCTTATATTTTATTACTTTTTCAAGATATCATTTGGGAGACTATGGTGGTGAAATCCTTAATGAAGTGAAAATCAGTAGATCAGACAAAGAGTTATATGCCACTCCAGCAACTCTTCATAATGGAAATCATCACAAAGTCCAAGAATGTAAAACTAAGGTGAATATCCTCTGGGGAGAAACACATATGGTAATATTGATCAGACAATTACTAGTTTCATCAGTTATCTTAGTATAGTTTGGTTAAGGAAAAACGTAATTAATGTGTTGTTTTTACTATTTGCCAAGCCAGCACTTGGTAGGAATTTTTACATACATATTAACTCATTAATCCTTACAGCAGCCCTTTGACATAGATTTTACCCCTGTATGACTTCTAGATCATTTAGCTGATAAGGGGCTGATTCAAGGTTTAGGTCCAGGTCTAACAACCAAAAACCATGTGCTTTTCACTATGCCATCTGCTTCCCTAAAGAATATGGGTAAATTAAAGTTTACTTGTTATCACTAGCCTTAGCACATCCTGTATTGTAGTGGCAGGCATCAAAATCTTAAGATTAAAGCTTTCTTCATTGGGACTATGGAAAGTTATTCTTATTTTCATCATTACTTCCAGAACCAGCATTTATCAACTACTCTCTACTTGGAGTGATTTAAAGAAGTCCTATAAGTTCCAGATCCTATTTTCTTCCTAATAGAAAGAGCTAGACTCCGTGATTATTTTAGTCTCTTAGACTTAAAGGAATTGTGTTTATTCAGTATTCATGTGGTACATTAATTATTCAATTGAGAAATAAAAATTAATAAAACTTTAAGGAGGTTAGTTTTAAATAAGAAATAGGTATTGACTGAGTATTTAGATAGTAGAGCTTTACTCTGTAGCAAGATTTAAAAAGCAACATAGGGTGTTTGTGGGAAATTCATCTTTTAAAAATGTACACAATTCTTATCTTTCATGGGTTTGCTCTTAAAGGTCAAAGAAGAATTTGGAGCAGGAAGACTCCTCCTTTTATTCAACTGATGTCAATTTAAACACCAAAGTTCTTTCTTATTCATCACAGGCATCTAGCCCACCTACCTGATTCTTTTTAAATCCCACTTGCCTCTATAGCCAAAAATTTACCAGTGCAATAAATGTAATTTTCTAAGTTATTTTTTAAAAGCCATTTCATATAAACCAGTGCTTTTTTCAAGTATATGATTGGTAGGCATAGAATATGAAGTCTCAACCTGAAATTACTGGTAGAATCAGCTTTTGTTACATATTCTTATTTTTGATCATCTGTAAGAATAAACATTCACCCTGTTTACTAGTTTTAGAGATATGGTTGCATCCATTGTTGCTCTACCCCATTATGCATAGTTTATTTACTTGGCCACACATCCCACCTTAAAATATAGGTAGTTCCTAAGAGGTAGGAGTTTTCTTTTTGATGTCATAGCTATATCCATTGTATGAAACGTAGCTATATGACTAAATACTTTGCCATTTAAGCAACATTTTCATTGTATGTACCATTTTTGACACTGCAGTAGTTTTAACAAAAATGTGGACTACATGGGAAAATACAGAACTTCCTAAATATATTTTCACTTTCATATTGCTTGTACTTTGGTGCTTAGAACAATCATTTTCAAACTTTTTAGGCAGTAAATCCCTACTTATTAAAAGGAATACTGTTATGTTAAAACAGAGCTTCTCAACTGAGTGGAGAGCAAGCGGGGCTGGAAACCCACCCCATCAGTCAGTCTTGCCAGGTGGCCTCTCAAGTGCTGTCGTAGAGTTCTGGAGTACTTGAGAACAGTTTGATTATTGTTCAGTTGAGGCAGTAATTATGCATCCTAAAAAAGTAAAAGTTTTTTTCTAGTTAATAAACTTATTTTTCTCAAAAAATTACCAGCTGTAGAAATTTTTAAAAATTGGAACACTAATGAATTTATAATCTAATTCAAGTTATTTTAAAAATAAAGTTATCATTAATACAGTGGATTTAAATAAAATTGAATTTAAGTCTTCTAAATGCTGGATTGCATAATAATAGAGCAATTATTAAAAATCATTAACATCTTAAAGTATAAATAACAATATAAAAAGCAAATTAAGTACCATTATGATTTTAATCATAACTTACAAAAAGTGAAACATCTTTCAATTTATGATCACGTAATTTTTGCATATGAAAAATAGTAAATAAAATCACCTCCTGGGTAAAAATGTATGTTTTTCAAAGAGCAGTATAGTTTTTCATGATTTCTAAAATGATTTTCATTTCTTCCTTTTGGGGGAAAAATCGTCATGTAAACAGCACCCTCATCATTTGTCTTTGAAAGAAGAGGCTTCTGATGTGGTTCGTCAAAAGAAGAAGTACCCAAAGAAGCCTAAAGCAGAGGCTTTGATAACATCTCAGCAACCCACTCCTGAGACATTGCCTGTGATCAATAAGAGTGATATTAAGCAATATGACTTTCACAGCTCAGATGAAGATGAATTTCCACAGGTGCTTATTTTAAAACTATTTTGAAGACATTTCCTTTTAGTCTTTTATATTGCTATATTTTAAAACATAATTGACCTCTTAGTTTTGATTCTTACTCTCTTCACCTAATGTTATATAGCATATATACATTTTCCACATTATTTATGTAGCCACTGAAATGGTATTTACTTTCCATTATTTTCTATCAGTTGGGTAGAATTTATTCTCTGTGGAGCATTTAGGTGGTTTTCAGTTTTCCCTTTTATAAAAATGAACATTATTATTCTTCCCCTCTGTATTTAAAGTAGACTATTAGAAATGGATTATCAATATTTTAAGATAGTTAATACATAATTGTAAGTATTCACCCAATAATAATTCCTTTTTTTTTTTTTTTTTTTTTACTATATTCTACCAGCATTTATTTTATAACTTTAATGTAAATTTTGCTACTTTGGTGATAACCATTTAATTTTAAAGATTTAGAAGAACTGATTCAAGTTGTAAATTGTGAAGACGGTTCTTTGGTTTATATTGCAACAGTTATAGCAAAATGTTTGCAATTTTAAAATCTTAATTTTACTTTCACACGTGCTATTTTTAAAATAAGACCTTTGTATATTAAAGGATCAATTTTAAAAGCTATATTTATAGTTTAGTAACTCGTCTAGCAATACCCTTTTTTTTTTCCTTTCTATATGGTATAGGCAACCTAAAGAGAATGCTATATAACAAATATGTATTATTATATTGTAACATTTTTGCTTCATTGCTTTAAAAGAAAAAAACTTTTTTAAACCAACATTACAGATATGTCTAGAAGCAAGACTGTCTATAAAACAGTTTATGGTTGTAACTGTTTAAAATCTAGAGTTTACATAAAAGCGTAAAATGTGTCCCCTTTGACTAGATTATGTTATTTTTTTACTCTTCTATCACTAACTTATAAATAATATTTTAGTATTTATCTGGGTTGTAACAAATGCACAAATAAATGTTTAATTTATATACTCTTGAAAAGCACTTAATGAAATAATTCATTACGTTTTTGTCAAAGGATTATCCAGTTAGACTCAGTGCTTTGAAGAGCCATGGGACATGGCCATTTTGAAGGAATGAGGAAATAATGTCCTAACAAATAGGAGTTTTCCATATATAAAGAGTAGGGAGGGGCTCTAGGCAGAGGAAACAGCATATGAGGGAGAACTGCTAGCAGTTTGGCATTGCTGGAACATAAAATGCAAAGGGGAAGCGAGGTTGAACAGAATGATGCTTAGAGTAGTAACCAGGTGGCAAATGGCTTCTACTACATTATATATACTGGTACATTATTAAAGAATTTTAAGTAAGAATATGACATGGTTTATTATATATCAATAATAGTCTTATGTTGGTAGTACTCAGAATAGCTTACAAAGTTTTGCTTTACACCCCCAGCCCTTTAAGAATGACACATGGGATATTATGACCTGTAGAAATTTTCCTTTCTTGCTGAAATCAGTCCATCACCTTAATGGTAGGGCACACTCACATGCTAATCATACATTCCTCATGCATTAAGGACCTTTGTTTCTGTTCTGAATTCTTGTGTTTATTCATATAGTCCCCAGCCCATAAACCCACATGAAAATTTCAAAATTTCGAATTGTATTTTGAAACTTTTAGGTTCCTCTGAGTCCTTTTACTAGGTCTTTAAAAACCCTCATTAATTTTTATAATGATATCCCCTTGTTGCTAAAAAATAAGTATTTACCTATATAGTTGGACGTCATTCAGTGAGGCAGCTATTTAGGAGGTAGCTCTTACAAAATCAGGACTTTCTTGCTGAAAAGATCATTAAAATAATATGTTTCTTCTTTGTCCAGTAAACAAGGAATGAAGGAATAGGGACCCTTAAGAGAACAAACATTTTAACTTCAGACTTACCCAACTGATTTGCAGCAGAGCAGAATTAAAAACCCTGTCTTTTCTTGATCATGCTTCTGATTCTCCTAATATCAACTCTCTCTTCCTATGTCTCATACTAAATCCTGGAATCCACTCCTGGGGAATGGTGGTCAGGACAGAGGGGTGGTATACTTTATGCAAAGAATTTCTAAGACTTTGTAACACTTCCCTGTGTGTATTTTAGAAGAGGTAGATGATCTGCAAAGGAACCAAAATATAAAATTCACATTTGGGATTTCCTTTCAAATTTCAGGTTTGGGGCTTGGTTCCCTGAGAAGAAGAATCAGCCCCAGCTTACTGTTTCTATGTCTCCCCCATAGGGTTGGTGGAGGTATATTGGAACCTCAAACAAATGCCTTTCTCCCCTGGATGACCCTGCTCAGTGGTAATTACCACAGTTTGGAAATAATGTGGAGAACACATTTTTCCTCTCAAAATAGGAAGAGAGGGATTTGTGAGGTTCAAAATTTGCAAGTAAATATGGTTGAGCCAGCGTTGTCAGAAAAAGAGATGTACTCCAAAGTGAAATTACGAGACTACTGAAACTTAAGTACCAAAACTTTTTTTTTTTTTAATTTTAACCATTATGGGTAGAAATTTATCTAAACCATATTATTTCTCTGCTGTATCAGAGTATATTTGTATATCATTTAATCCATTTTTTATGACATTTATAAAGTTTGCTCTAATGGATCAGTGTTGCCCCAGGGGTCCACTCACGTTATATAGGGATGTTTCATCTAAGATCACATGGTTCTAGGTAGAATACTTTTTAATTATGTAATAACAGCTTTTTGAAAGTCTTTATTTTTTCTTTTGCTGTCAGGTTGTGGGCTTATCACTTCTCTCTGCAGCCAGTCTGCAAGTCTTCTTTCCTCTTCTAATTTTCTGCTTCTGATCTGCTAAGTTTAAAAAGTGATTTTATTAAACTGTGTGCCTGAAACTAATACTACACTGTATATTAACTAACTGGAATTTAAATAAAAACTTTTTTTAAAAAGTGATTTTTTAAAAATGCGTAGGGAAATAAGGAACTCCCTTTGAGAAAAATGTATGTATGACCTATAATGACTTTTGGGGGAGCACTCTTCATATGCCATTTTTACTTCTAGTTTTTGGCTTCATTACAGAGAAAGAAAGTTACTGCATAAAAATACATCTGTAGATGAAGCATAACTGTCAAAATAAAAGTGTTTATGGCCACATACATTATTTACAAAATATAAGTGGGATATATAAAAACTCTACTAATTCTTAGGTACTTACATGTTCAGAAGCAATTAGACAATACCTTGTTGACTCTCCTGCAAGAACTAATCCATCCCAAATCATGTTTAACTGTAGAAAATCTGTGCTAGTCTTTAACTCTTCAGGGGAATTTACTGCCTACTATATGGAATATAGGAGTGATGTACTGTTTGTGATCAGATTCTGATTTTAGACCATTACAAAGATTGATCTCTTGGCTTTTGGTAACTCCTAAATGGAATGTCTCGTGCCTCTTTTTTTCTAGGTACCATCCCCAGTATCAGAACCTGAAGAAGAAAATGATCCTGATGGTCCCTGTGCTTTCAGGAGGCGAGCAGGATGCCAGTATTATGCTGTAAGAACTTGGTTTTTGTAGTGTTTTTGTAAACTGAAATTAATAGATATTTCTTGTCAAGGTAACTTAGCCTTAATCTAAAAATGGGAAGTCCACTGGCATTTTTTAGTTACTGTCACCTATGCACACACCAGTAAAAGATGCTCAAAGGTACTGAGTCCTTTCAGAGGTTATTAAAAAATATCAGAATCCTTTACTTGGAAATTGATAATTTAAAATTCTAAATTTTAGAAATTTAGTTGTACTTTGGGCTTTAACTGTAGCCTCGTTTAGCAGTTATGAAAATTACTGTCACTGCTAGAGTTAGGTAAGCCCAGAATCTCTAATTGAAAATTTTTTTTTAAAGATTTATTTATTTATTTGAGAGAGAGGGTGTGCACGCACGGGCAGTGGGGGAGGGGCAGAGGAAGAGAGAATCCTGAAGCAGACTCCCCACTCAGCACGGAGCCCGGCGAGGGCCTCACTCCCATGACCCTGAGATCATGATCTGAGCCAAAATCAAGAGTTAGCCGCTTAACCAACTGAGCCACCCAGGTGCCCAAAAATTTTGATTGTTGCTGCTTATTAAAATTTAGGGAAGTCCATCTTGTGCATACATACCAAGGAAGGATCAAACATAGACTTTCTTCATGGCGATATGTTATATAATAATAATACTCAAACTTTTTGACACACTTAGAAATTGCTTTGTGCTATTAAGTCAAGTTTTGGTGCAGCATTATATCAGGAGTGACCCTCACTCCCAAATGCTCAGGTTTCAGATAAGGTATAGCTATAGAGTTGTGAGGATAGCTTTCAGATATAACTTGCAGAGACCATTTGTCTTGCTGCATTATGGTAAACATCTACACTTCCAACATTTCAGGGTTTGTGTGTGTGTGTTTAGCACAGAAGAGGTAGAAAGTTATTTATTTACGAGTTACGCTAATGAGAAAAAGAGAAAATTATTATAAAAAGGTAGAGAAATGTTAAGGCCCAGAGAAATGAAGAAGTGTCAGCCTGGGGCGCCTGGGTGGCTCAGTCGTTAAGCGTCTGCCTTCGGCTCAGGTCATGATTCCACGTCCTGGGATCGAGCCCCGCATCGGGCTCCCTGCTCCGCGGGAAGCCTGCTTCTCCCTCTCCCACTCCCCCTGTTTGTGTTCCCTCTCCTGCTGTGTCTCTCTCTCTCTGTCAAATAAATAAATAAAATCTTTAAAAAAAAAAAAAAAAGTGTCAGCCTGACCCATACATACATGCTTAAAGTACAATTTTTGGTTCAAAAACAATTTTCCTTCTGGTTTATATCAATAGGAAGCCTATGCATTACTAACTTTACTATCTCTACTTTTCTACATAGATGTTAAAAGCCATATTTTTCTTTAAAGATGTATTTCTTCTAATATATATTATACCCTAAAATATTAAATTCAATTTCAGTTATTTTGGTGAGTGAACTTTTGATTCAGTTTTATAAAGTTTATCTTGTTAATGTCATTTAAAACCCAATTTTACAGTTTTATATCTAAATTTTAATTGCCCTGCTAATGCTGTACTTTATTTTTATCATGATGTAACTTCTCTTCATTTCAGATTTACTCCATGACTTTTCATTTTATTTCTTTCTTTGCAGCCTCGTTTGGACCAAGCTAACCACTCATTTGAAAATTCAGAATTGGCAGATTTGGATAAGTTGAGATACAGGCATTGCCTTACAACGCTTACAGTCCCAAGAAGATGTATAGGATTTGCAAGGAGGCGAATTGGCAGAGGTGGAAGGTAAACAATTTGTTTTGGCCTGGGTTTTTGTTTATAAACTAGAGGGGGCGATATAAAGAAAATGTTACTAAGTTCCTCCAGATAATACTTGGTTTTATATTGTTTTTTCAGGGTTATAATGGACCGAATATCCACAGAACATGACCCAGTCCTGAAACAGATAGACCCTGAAATGCTGAATGGTTTTACAAGCTCTTCCCAAACTATAGACTTTTCTTCTAATTTCACTCGGACCAATGCTTCCAGTAAACATTGTGAAAATAGACTGTCCCTTTCTGAAATATTAAGCAATATCAGATCATGTCGACTACAGTGTTTCCAGCCAAGGCTACTAAATTTACAGGACAGTGATAGTGAAGAATGTACCTCAAGAAAATCAGGGCAGACTGTGAACAATAAAAGAGTTTCTGCAGCATCTGTAGCTTTATTGAACACCAGCAAGAATGGCATATCAGGTAAGCTGTCACTTTGTTAAAAGTATATCATGCTCTTTTTTTCTCCTTAATTTTCATTATCCACTAAATAAGTGCTAAGTGCTCAGGGTAAATTTGGAAGTTTTTTTTTTTTTTTTAAGATTTTATTTATTTATTTGACAGAGCACAAGTAGGCAGAGCGGGAGGGAGAGGGAGAAGCAGGGTCCCCACTGAGCAGGGAGCCAGACGTGGGGCTCGATACCAGGACCCTGGGATCATGACCTGAGCCGAAGGCAGATGCTTAACCAACTGAGCCACCCAGGTGCCCCTTGGAAGTTTATTTTCATAATCCCAGTGAAGAAAGGAATTTTTTACCTTAACCTACTACAGTTTTTTTCCAGCCTAAACCCCATTATTGTGGTTCACATTTTAAACAATGTCCTAATACCTCTAAAACCTGACTTATATTTTGAATATGTGTGCCTGGTATGGTGAATGTGTAGGCAGAATGCATAGGGAGTTCCCTATGGGCAAAGTCGTTATAAGTTGCTACCAGATCTTCATAGCCATAGTGTGCACTTCTTAAACAAAGTTTCCCTTTTTTGTATATTAGCTTTGCTCAGATGTAGGCATTGGCTCTTCAAGAGTACCATTGAACGCTTTCTTTCTGAAAAATGACTTTTTTAAGAAGCTCCCCATGAATAGTTGTAATTTTGTTTGGTAGCTTACCTCTGATTGAGATTGGAGAGTATTTTTCACTTTAAGAAACACGGTGCCCAAATTAATGTAATATTTTTATGACATGTACATTGTAAATAATGTATAATATCTAGACAATCTAAAATCTAATTTTGATTTGTTTTCCTCTGCGGATAGTCTTCTCTCTATCACATGTATACAAGTAGGTATAATTTTTAATATCCTTATGATATATACAAGCAGTGCATGGTATCCAGAGACAAAACTAGATATGACTTGACTTACACTGTTGATATCCTTCCTTTTAGAAAACGTCAGTATTTCTAAATTATGTCCTGAATGGTGCATTTTACTATACAAAATTATGTTAAACATCTTTAAAGTGGTTTCAAATCATTTTAGTTTGAAATTTGGTCCCAGTCATGTTAAGTCTTTTTTTGTTACTGGACTGCTTATTTTTAAACTTGACCTAGACATTTATCTGTTTAAAGATTATAGTAGAAAATTGGATTTGTTTGAATGATTAGAAGTTGACATGTCGTTCCTCCAGATTAGTTGGTTCATTTTCTCCTGAGCAAACTTAGATAAGGAAAATGATATCCCATTATATAAAGTTCATGAATCTGTGAAGTTTAATGAGCTTTTGAAGCTGAAACAGATAAATACCAAATATGATTTGTGGTGGCAAGCTTATCAGAAATCTCAAGGTAGGAAGTTGACAAATATTAAGTCAGATTTTTTTTTTCTGCCAACCCCATGACAGTGTTCAAATTACTTAGCTGAATTGGAATTTCTGTATCAAAAATTACTCAAAATAATTTTTGCCAAAAGGGCAGTTTAAAAACATCTCCGTGTAGGCATTTATAATTAGATTTGATAGTAGATTGAATTTCTTCTCTAACAATGTGTACCATACCAAAAAAATGATTTTACATTTCATCTCAGCTTGAACATGGCCAGCTTTCTATTGTACCTTCCGAGTAAACTCCAAAAGGATTTGACTTGACTCTTCCAGAAAATATGCATAGGTTGTGTATGTTGTTATGTCATCATTACTCTAGATGTATTGATCCAGAATATAACTTACTATAACTTATATAATTCTATAATAATTAGCTCTAGAATTTTATGACACTATCATAGTACATCAGCATAAAATAAGCATTTAAAGTATCTTAGGCATACAGGCACTTTTCAGGTAACTTAAGTGACAAATATGTGATGTTAACGTCATAGACAGTAAAGTTTTTTAATTTTTACCTTTCCCCTAAGATAAAAAAAAAAATAGTCTTTTTGGTCTGTATAATATATCCTGTCTCAATTTTTTAGTATTCTCAACATAGTGCCATTTCCTTCTTTCTTTGACAAATTTCAAGATTTAAGCAACAACTAAGCTACATTAGAATCAGTGTTTTGTTTTGTTTTTTTAAAGATTTTATTTACTTATTTGACAGCACAAGCAGGGGGAGCGGCAGGCAAAGGGAGAAGCAGGCTTCCCGCTGAGCAAGGAGCCTGATGTGTGGGGCTCAATCCCTGGACCCTGGGATCATGACCTGAGTCGAAGGTCACTTAAGCGACTGAGCCATCTAGGTGCTTAATCGACTGAGTTACCCAGGCGTCCCACAATCAATTTTTAAATAGAAATTTTCAAATATATATTTAATTCTGTTGCTAGAGTAAAGGGTTTTGTTTGACATTTTCCTTCTCAGCTGTGATCCTCTAATCATTGAGGCCACAGGGTTTTTGGTTTTGTTTTGTTTTTTTAAATACATTTGTTTTGTTTCAAAATACTAGGCACAGGTATATAAATGCATAATGGAACAAGTCTTTTAACAGCATTTTTGTAAACAGTTGAAAAGCTGTGACAATTTTAAGTACCCATTTGTACCAGTTCTATTCATTACATAGTCCTCTTAGTTCTGGTTAGATAATTTCAGTGAATTCCATTACAGTTCAGTAAATATTGATAGGAATTCCTTCATCAACTTAAAGAGAAGGATGGTAGGAGTTTTTAGAAAGTTGGTAGTTTTATGTTTGATGGACATAGATAACAGAATTGAACCCTCATCTGTTTTATTTCTTTTAATCTTTATGCCTTTATTAGTACTGTTGCCTTCTGCTTATTCTTTGTGGAGTTGGTCATGAGAGTGTGTTTGTCTTTAAGAGTAACAAGACTGACACAGGACCATATTTTTACCTTACAGAGTGTATCACTGAGCTAGACAAATTATTAAGTACTGAATTTTCTGTTTCACAGCTGGGAAATCGGAACAAAGGGTTTAATCAGAAATATAAATCTGATACACTTGACATTAATGTTTATATCACAAGTTTTTTAGTTCTTAAAAACACGAACTTGAGGGCTAGTGGCAAATAATTTTATGTTGTTAATAACCTAGTTAATATTTTTCAAGTCATAATCCCTGTGTCCTAAATATATTCTAATTGTTACTTTTGATATCATACTTAAAGGACATAAAACAAATTGAAATGTATGTGCTAGGTATTAGAAGAACTAAAACTGAAGACTTCATTTTAAAGCAAAGACACATGTCTTATTAACTATTAAGTAAGATCTGTTTTCTTAGTTGGAATAGTCTTCTCAAAGAATAGAAGCAGGGCAAAGAAAGGAAAGATAGATTGTGCTGAACGTGGCAAGTGAATAACCAAGGAGAACTAATTTCACACATAATTATTTGGAAGTATTATATGCAGAGCACTATGTTAAGTGTTTAAGAGTTGCAGTTTTACAAGACAGTAATCCTTTCAAGGAGTTTACAGCACATGGCAAGGATTACATTCTTTGTATAACTAGATGATAAAGTTTTTAGTCATTTGAAACTGCAGATTTATTTATTCTTTTGAGCTCTTGTTCTTAAAACCAGAACTTAAGAAAATGTATTGCACATCTAAAAGTAGCTTTGCTTGGGGCACCTGGCAGGCTCAGTTTGGTAGAGCATGTGACTCTTGATCTCAGGGTTGTGAGTTCAAGCCCCACCTTGGGTGCAGAGATTACTTTTAATATGAAGAAAAGAAGGAAGGAAGGAAGCTTTGCTTGTTCAGACTTGAAGAGCTGGATTAATTTACATTTAACCTTGGTTTTGACTAATGCATGGTTGCAATGAGCATTTTTTCCCCCTCATTTGTCTTCATATATTGAATAGATACCAGCAGCCTTTTTGACTAGCTGCAAATATCTTAACATTACCAATTTGTAAGAACATCAGCATTTTGGACAGTTTTCCAAGAGAAATTCCTGATTTTTTAATTTTTTCAGTTTCTTTTCCCATTCTTTCTTAAATTGCCATAAAATGTTTGCAAGTGTGAAAATTTTTGAATAGGTAAAACTACATTTTCACAACTGGCTAAGGTACTCACAAGGATTCATTTTTGACTTAGGGTTGCTTCCAGAGGTGTGAGAAATAGATTCAGATTTCAGGAATTAAAATATTTTAGTTTGACTACTAAAGGAAATAATACTGAAATTTCAGTTATAACTATTTAGGTTGGATATCAGAAGTTTAAATGGGTCTTTAAAGATTTTATTTTTAAGCAATCTCTACATCCAATGTGGGGCTCGAACCTATAACCCCTACATCAAGAATCACATGTTCTACCAACTGAGCCAGCCAGGCACCCCCTAAATGGGTCTTTATTTTCACATTTCATTTGTTCCTCATTCTTCATCCCCTCACCCTTCATCCCTGACTTCACCTCCCATCTTCACCCTTTGTACCCCTACAGTTTTGCAGTCTATTCATTAGTTTGCCTTTAACTGTGAGAGTTACATTATAGGATATGTATAGTCCTAGACAAATAATGTCAACTTTCAAGGATTGAAAGATTTATCCTCACAGTAGCTCCGATGGTTTATGTGAAGTTTCACCTGACTCCTCTGTAAGACCTACAAAGTTTAAAATAGGTTGTCTGTCTTCCCCACCCCCGTCAGCCCCAGATCTGTCTTTTAAAACAAAAATGCATATAGTCAGCATTGCTTCAATAAAGCATATATTAAGACTTTTGTAACAAAGACCTACCCTGTAGATGAAGATATACTGGATAATATATATTCATTTTGACTTTTAGATAATCTTTACTACCATATTAGATGTTCTTCATTAAACTATGAAAACTTGGTCTAGGCTAGTGTTTAAAAAAATCCATAGCTTCCCAAGAATACAGATTGTACTAGCCCACTTAGAGAAACACTGCATTAAAAATAATTTTAAAAAGGCACACACAAGCACAAAAAATCATATGTTCATACTCTATTGTGAGATGGTCATCCAGAAGATCCAGAATGTGTTTCTATTAGATTTTTCTTCTTAGTTTATCAACAAAACAAAAGTTAGCAAATACATGTAAAGATTTCCCACATACTCAAGAATACTTCTGTGGGCCCAAGTTCAAGAAACAGTGATCTAGGGGTTTAGAATTATTAAACCAGTGTAAAATATAGTGGAGATACCTTGAGTATATTTTTGATGGATCACTGTCACAATATGAGAGGGAAAGCTAATAAGGAATCAGCCTAACAGACCACCATACAGGAACCACATACCTGAAAGGTGAAAGATGAAATGAGGAATGCCTAGGACTTTTGAAATCAGAATCAACATTCCAAGGATGGTGACAAGTATTCTAACAAAAAATACATGGATTCATCTGGTGAGTAAAGCAGCTGATGAATCTTAGATGGGTAATGAGCCAGATACAAAAAAAAAAAAAAAAAAAAAGCCAGAAAGTTTAGGGGCTTTAGTGAAAAACAGACTATTGGTTATATACACAAAATATTTAGAAATGCAAATACACCACTAGTGTATAGAATGATGTATTTGCATATATAAAGAGGAAAATTCTATAATATGTGTATCCATATTTTATCATGTATTAACCACAGAGATTTGGAAAACTTCTTACTCCGGTAAAAGGGCATTTCCCATCTATCTAGATTAGTGAATTATTGCTCCCTTCACAAAACAGTCAGATTTGTGGTTACTTTTATTTTTTTTATTTTTTTATTTTTTAAAGATTTTATTTATTTATTTGAGAGAGAGAGAATGAGAGAGAGAGAACACCTGAGAGGGGATAGGGTCAGAGGACGAAGCAGACTCCCTGCCAAGCAGGAAGCCCGATGCGGGACTCGATCCAGGGACTCCAGGATCATGACCTGAGCCGAAGGCAGTCGCTTAACCGACTGAGCCACCCAGGCACCCTTGTGGTTACTTTTAAACTGACAGGACTTATAGGGGTGGGAGAGCGTAGATTTATGACCAACATAAATTTCAGTTTTATGCTAGCAACTTAGGAGCAACTAGTGGAAAGAACTTGGCTTGGCCCTAAGCAGGAGAAGCAGATTGGTTTCTGTTTTGTATGTTCCCAAGTCCCCTTTTTGCCTCTACAGCCCCGCCCCCCCCAAGGCTGGGTCCCCTCTTCTCTATCTCATTTCTAAACAGATTTCTTCACACTATAACTGCAACCTTTTCCTGACGTGTTTTAACGTTTGCCTTTTGATGACTGCAAATCAGTGTACAAAATAAATTTCTTGTCAAAGTATTTGAGTAATTTATGAAAGGAAGAATAATCAGTAGAGAAAGAACTCTCAAATTACCTACCAAGTTACTTATCTCTACCTACCATTAAGTCAACCCTAAGGATGAAAATTCACCACTGTGCCTGTGCCATTAAAATAGTACAGTTCTTACCACTTTCCGTTCACCCTAACAAAATGAAAGGGTGTTTTGTATGTGTACCAATTCTGTGCCACAATTACTAATTGCTCTTTTTGTCTAAAGAGTTAAAATAATACTAAACAATGCTCTAGAAAATTCTGAATGAGGAGCATCAGCTTCTTTTCAAGCACAAAACTTAATAGTAAAGAAAGAATTAGATGTCAAGAATGAATATAACATGCTAAGACTGAGTTGAGGGGAAGAGAAAAAAAATAAATGTCATTTTCAAAGCATTACCTTATTATAGAATTAAATTGAGTTTATATCAGTCATTCCCAACCAGTAATGGGATCAGGGATGAAATTTTTGGCATCAAAGTTAGCCTAGGTTTAAAAAGGTTAGGAAACACTGACCATTAATTTGAGTAATTTGGATTGAGTGTTGTTGGGGTTTTAATGAGTTTTCTATGGGGAAAAGGATGGGGTTCCTGAGCAAATTAATGGTCTCAACAGGACAGGGCAATAAGTAGACATATCCTCTCTTCCGCAAAAGAGGCAGTCTTATCAGCATTCCTTTTTAATTTATATGTAAATGATCATCCATTCATAAAAAGCAAGTAGAACACCTATAGTTGGCAATACTTTGTTAGTCATGGATTACCAACCGAAAGTAATTTTTTTAATTAAAAAATGCTTTTGAACTTTCTACTAATTTAGGTACATAGTTATTCTGAATTAGATTTCTATCTCACTCATGATTTTCTGAATTAAAAGATTTTGGAGAAGAAGATTCTCAATGTTCTCATTTCTCTCTGTTTTGAAATAGCCATTAAAAGTATAGTCACTTAATTTGGTTTATTCCTCACTTAATCACTGTAACCTCCCACCTTTTCACCACAACAAAAAAAACTTAGCTGTAGATGAACATAATGCTGGATTTGAGGGAGTAGACCATGCTAACACCAGATTCCAAGTCCATTTCATTTGAATTGGCACACTATACACATAAGACTTTAAACAGATTTATTTGGGTTTAACTTAAGATTTTTCCTTCCTGCGTTTTATCTAATAAACTATTTTTCATCTCTTTCCCAAGGTTTTCAAACAGCTGGAAATTCATGAATACTTCACATTTCATTTGATTTTGAAGATTGTAAACTTAGAATTAAAAATATTTTTTTCATTTAAAAATAGAACACTTGCAGTGAATTTAACATGTGCAAACAAAGAAAAACATTTGATTTTGTTGGTAATTCAGTAAGATAACTAATGTGTACTTCAAAAATACAGGTAATATTAAAATTTTAGAGTGAGCACTATCGTAGCCCCAGGTCTTTTACTCTTCTAAAAATAAAATTGCTATCTAAGAACTGTTTTTCCTTCATAGTCCAGTACAAATTTTAATGATAATGTTGCAGAACAGAAATGAAAGCATATCTAATGCTTTGTCCATCTCTGGGGCCCAACTCCCTTTTCATAGAAAATAGGCTGTATTACCATCACATTTTTAAAAATTTCTGATTTGTAATTGTACCAAATGGAAAACTTGGGGGTGGGGGGCTAGTTAAGTAACCTAGGTTGAGGGTGTAGTCTTCTAGCCAAACCCCTTTAGGTCCTGTTGATTTGATTGCTCAATTGCATTTAAAGGTTGACTCATATTAGTTGGTATTTCTTTTTATGTATCTTTTCTTTCCAGCTACACAGCAGGACTTTATAGCGGGGACCCTTTTAGTTTATTTTGCCCTGTATTCTCTTAACTCTTAAGGTAGCACTCTGCATCATCGTATATAGTAAATACTTGCTGATTGAAAGAAATAGCTGGGAGAGAGCAAAGAAAGCAATGAAGAAAAATAGAGCAAAATTACTCTAGTAGTAGATGTATTCTGATGGGACTTAATATTTCTTGATTTTGATAATGTACTACTTTGGATATAGTTTTGTGTCCTCAAGTCAATTTATCAGTGATCTACTTGAAAATTAGTGAATGAAAGTGAAGAAAAATGTTTCTTAGTATAACTTTTTCTTAGCTAATCTTGTAAACAAAAGTTTTCGATGTCTTATTTTTACTTGAAATCTACTAACTTCTGTTAACAGAGCATAATTGATTACATCGGAGGATACAGTCTGCCTTTAATTTTCTGAACAATTCTCTGATTTCTAGCCCATATTTATATTTGGGTTTAACTTAAAATTTTTATTTTTATATTTTGGGTTTAACTTAAGGCATTTTAGCATCAAATCTATTGGCTTAAAATTCAGTTAATGGTTATACTGGATGAACATCTTTGTCCTCTACTCTGATTTGTAATCAGAGAAAATGTCCTAAATGGAAACCAGCAATAAGGATCATTTATAGTCTTCCAGATGGTCCTGCTTTCTTACTTAAGGCTATCACTTAATCATTATTGTTTATAGTAATAAAAAGCAAAGTTTTTCTCATTACATAGTTACCACGATATAGTGAACTAAGAGTGATCTCAAAGACACTAAGTCTGAATAAATGGTTAGAATCTTCATGTTAGAACCATGTTATACAGTAAACACTACATACAGGAACTTTTTTAGCATGTGACATTAGAAGATCATGGATATTAGCATAAACCACTTTGGCTTTTTATTGGGTTCTTGCAGATATATGATTTGCAGTTGCTTTTCATCTTAATTATGCAATCACTTTATATTGTATTCTACTTGTGTTGTTGAAAGTACTTTAAAACATACTTATTTCTGAAATGAGTGTCCTTTACCAGTAACAGGGGGTATCACAGAAGAGCAGTTTCAGACACATCAACAGCAGTTAGTTCAGATGCAAAGGCAGCAGCTTGCTCAGCTTCAGCAGAAACAGCAGTCTCAGCATTCCTCGCAACAGACACATCCAAAAGCACAGGTAAGCTTGTCTTTTCATCATGATTATGTTTTTTTTTTTCTTTCATAATTACATAGTTTTGTTCAATTTTAGTCAAGTCACAGAGGATAACCTTGATAAAATAAAGGAAGTACTAGAGTCAAATATGGTATTTATAATTTAGGAAAGAAACTATGTTGTTTTAAAGGGTTATTGAGAATTTGTGGAAGGAATTATATGCTCTTAGAACTATCATCCCCACCCCTACAGCCCTCAAAACTTAGTTTTTTCTTTTTTTATTTATTAGAAAGCACGAGTTGGGGGGAGGGGCAGAGGGAAAGGGAGAGGCAGACTCCCCACTGAGCAGGGAGCTTAGTTCAGGGGCTCGATCCCAGGACCCTGGGTTCATTACCTGAGCCAAAGGCAGACGCTTAACCAGTGAGCCCCCCAGGCGCCCTATTTTTTTTTTTCCCAAGAATATAACTTTCCCACCCCCTTCTTAAACTGTGTGTTTAAGTGCCATATGGATGTGCCCCGTGGGCTAAGAGGTAATTCCCTTGAATTGTGCAGTAAATCTAAACAACATAGCCCCGTGTCTCTTTGAATCACATTCCCCTGAAGAAAAAAATTGCCACCAGGTTAAGTTTTCCATAGGCATGATTAAATGAATACACTAGGGATAAGAATAAAAATACCTTATGATATTGTAATTGCCAAAAGAAAGTAGCCCTGCAAACAAACACCTTGATATGAGCCCTGTAAGACTTACTTTGAACTCGTGGCCTCCAGAACTGTATGAAAATAAGGTTCTATTGTTTAAGCCACTAAAAATAAAACTAATTGAAAAGTATGTTTCAAATTTGAGCCATCTGAAAGACATCTAGTGTTTTAGGTCTTAAGTTTTGTTGCTTCATAATTCCAAAAGTAATTCTGAAGGAATAACTGAGATGAGCTCAGTCTTCCTTGTATTCTGTGAGATCTCTTAGGCCAGCGTCTGCTGATGGAAGTTCAATTCATTCTCAGGGGATCACTAAATACGCTAACCTTGGAAATCCTGAATCCAACAACATGAAAATCTCAGTGACATCAGGACCCCTCAGCACTCCTCTAGCATCCAGGTGGATTTGGGACTGTCCCACAAATTTAGAGCTATTGGCTGTTATTAACAGCCGACCAGTTTCATAGAGAATCAAGAGGAATGGCCATTAAACTTTGTTTGCTTTTTCTGAATCTCTTGGGTCGCTAGCCTGCTGCAGGTTTAGGCCAGACATGTTCTTACATTGTGACAAAAATGATGGTTAGTTCCTTTGATTTCATGTTTTCCATAGTGTCTAGATTGTCAGGTATTTTTAAAGGCTTTCATTAACACTTACTGGAGAAATCAGTAGAGTATTAAAGGTTTGAGGTTTTTAATTCCCTAGTTCTCCAAAATAGTTGCTTCTTCCCAGTTTTTAGTCATTTAATTCCCTGCTTTCATATGCCAAAAATAGTCTGTGGAGTCCTAGATCTCTTAATCTGAACACCTCTAACTATTCAAGATGAAAAAGGCAACTGCCTTTTGGTTTGCCCATTTCTTTAAATAGTCACGTTCATGAAATCACATCTGAAAAATTGAGAGTTTAATTTTGTTTATCTTACAGGGCTCAAGCACCTCTGACTGTATGTCTAAAACACTTGACTCAGCCAGCGCCCACTTTGCTGCATCTGCAGTGGTCAGCGCACCTGTTCCGAGTCGCGGTGAGGTAGCCAAGGAACAGAACACTGGCCACAACAACATAAATGGTGTTGTCCAGCCTTCAGGTAAGCCTGTGGTTTCGTGTGGTACTTTATTAGCTCAAAATTGTAACTCACTGATTTGAGATATGGCTTTTATTTAAATGCAAGGGGAAAGCATTGTACAAGAAGTCAGTCAGGACTCTTCAGAATTTCTATGGATAGGTGTCATGGAATAGCTGAATGTTTTCTAGAATTCACATAGAGCCTGCTTCCCTGTCCTCCTGCACCCACTAGATACATTCCTGTGTAGCACTTCCACCCTGCCTAGTTTTATTCATGTACTATCAGTTGCCTCACATCTTAGGAAACATATTGAGCTAATTGCTAACCATCACCATGGAATTAATCCATGCAGTGATAAAAAGGCAAAATGCAATCCAGGTTGACCCGGGGTTTGAAATTGGGTTTACCATCCCACTAGCACATACTCATCAGACTGCTTTCTCTGACTCCTCCCCTTGAAATACAGTATTACTCTGGAACCTTGTCTGCTTCTTACTACCCCGAGTCCTCAATGACTTGCTGTTCCTATCAGCCTTCAACTACTACTCAGATCCTAGGCTTTTCCACTTGCTTTTAGATCTACATATGATCCTGATTGCCTCTCCTTACTGATTTCTTCTTGCATGTGTAAATTCTGATAGAATTCAACTTTCATTTCCACATGCTCTTAACCTCCAGAGAGGACCTCTCTGCCCCGCAATTTCCTACTTTCCAAATAGGGATGCAGCAGAATACTTTGTAAAGCCCTTTTATGCAGGCCAATAGAAAGATCTATCTTTGGCGTGGTAACAGGTAAGTATGTTGTGATCAGGAACTCTCTTTGGAGAGGCCAGTATGTGGAAAATTAACTTGGTATTTAATTAGTATACCAGTGTTTGCACTTTTTATTAAACTCCTGATTTTTTGAGAGTTTAATTAATGTCTCATGATACGAATTGAATTATTTTCTTTTCCTCCTTCAGGAACCTCTAAAACGTTATACTCCACCAATATGGCTTTATCATCCAGCCCAGGGATTTCCGCTGTACAACTTGTAAGGACAGTTGGCCACACCACTACAAACCACTTAATCCCAGCATTGTGCACAAGCAGTCCTCAGACACTTCCCATGAACAATTCCTGCCTGACAAATGCAGTGCACCTCAATAATGTCAGTGTTGTTTCTCCAGTCAATGTGCATATCAATACACGGACTTCAGCACCATCGCCAACAGCCTTAAAACTTGCCACAGTTGCTGCCAGTATGGACAGAGTGCCAAAGGTTACTCCTAGCAGTGCCATCAGCAGCATAGCGAGGTGTGTGTGTGTGTGTGTGTTTCCTGTACTGTTCCATCCCTCTCTGCGGCTATACTGTGGGAGGAAAAAGACTTTTTTTTTTTTTTTTTTACCGCCCAAGCAATAGATGTCCCTTTATTGACTTGCTTTTTTAACACATACTGAGATCTGCTTAATGTAGAGCTGTATGACTTAGACTATTTTGCTTGAGGTCACTAGTAGGATGTTTAAATGCCAACCAGAAGTATAAAAAACAGGGGGGGGAAAAAACATCAAATTGAAAACTATCAGACCCCCCCCAAAAATACATCAAAAAATATTTTAGAAGCTTCAGTCTTCTGTTACTTTTTTGTAGCATAGACAGTTGGGAAGGTTAGAGGAGTTGTTGTGTTCCCTTCAGTATTATACACAAAGGGAAAGTAAGTTATTCTATGTATATGTTAAAATTGAGAATATTCTGGGATTAGCTAAATCTGTGATAATGTATTTCAGGATATGTTTTTATATTTCTTTCTGTGATACTAATACATGAGAATAGTGAATCAGAAAACAGTTGAGGTGCATGAATTAATAACTACATGACCTTAAACCTATAGTGGAAAGTAGGTAATACTGTGCTTTTAATGATTATTCTTTTTGAGCATTATATGCTTCATCTGTTGTAAAAAACTTGGATGGTCTTGTGTTACATTTCATGAGTAGTTTGTCATTGGCTTCTTTCTACTGAAATATTATGTCAAATTACTGTTTCCTAAGTAAACAGTTATAATCAAGTAATTAGGAATTAATAGGATTTCTTACCTGAAAAAAACTTGTCCTCATTCCTGTATAGGAATGATAAAAATGGGAAATATTCTTGTGAAATACGTGTTGTAGTTACATAAAAAGTGTCTGTAAATACTGATAATATCATATTCTAGAGAGCATTAATGTTTATTTTTATTCTTTGCCTTTTTTTAGAGAGAACCATGAACCTGAAAGATTGGGCTTAAATGGAATAGCAGAGACAACAGTAGCTATGGAAGTGACATAACCTAAAACATGTGGCTTTTGACCTGTGCTGATGGTGTGCAGTCATTCATATTCCAGCTGAATGCAAAAGGCGACACTCTGTGGATCACGGAGCGTAACAATGGACCTAAATGGACTACAGTATATCGGATATTAAATCGATATATGATGTATATTTTGTAAAATTGGGAAAATCACTACCTTGTAAAATAGTTTATTTGTATCATCAATATTATTTCTGTTACTTGAATAGTAGATATTCATCATCATGCTTTTGCACTTGAATTTGCAACTGAATGGATTTTAAAAAATAATTCTTTAATGGGATCATGAGCATGAAATGGGATCCTGCATCACTTGTTTTAACTATTTATTTTGCCATGTTTACATTTTGTATCTTGTAAAAATAAATCCAACTTTGTGTCTAAAAAGTAAAAGATTCATAGCTAGGAAATGAAATTCTTGTAATTTTTTTCTAAAGGAACTGTAAAGTTTTCACTTGGTTCATTTTGTTTCACAATTTGACTAGATGGACTTTTTGGTAAATACTAGTGGCATTTCACTGTCAAATATGAAGTTCAAGGCAAAATAGTATTTTCTATTACTGTGCAGGGGAAAGGGATGGATCGATACATGCAAATTTAATGTAGTAACTCACTTTTCCATATATTTTGAATGTATATTTCTATTTATAATACCAGTTTATAAAAAATAATTACACAGGAAAAACGGACTAGGAAAAATTATGCATCTAAAGCACATTTAAACTGTGCAGATAAGAAAATTTTTCAAGGATTACATTTTATCTGAAGACTGCATATTTTAACTGGCTTTAAAACTGTAACACACCACATAAAGGATATTTTACCAGGTATGTATTGCATCATATCATTGCAATAATTATTGGAAGTCTAGATATCGAGCCATCCCAGGTGTTGGGAGGGGGGGAGGGTTGTGGCAAGATTGTCTTTTCAATTTTGGAGAGTTTTCCTGTGGCTACAAGGCAAGTAACGGGTTGGAAAAAGTCTGACTGTAAGCGTTGGACACCTTCATAGTGTAGTGTTTTAGTGACTTTTTTTATACGGTTCTTGTAAATTAGATACGTGTAGTGGTGTTTCAGAATGTTTGTTTATGCACTAGTTCAGACAACTTTCCCTGTTACTTGTTCTTGATAAGTGAAAACTGCAGGGAAATAAAAATACATATCAAAACATGGACATGCTGCATATGTGTTTATTTCACAATGTGCACACAGCGTAAGTGAAAACTTAAGGGAGATGATAGCACTTAACAGCACTTTTCATTTTCACAGTGCTTTCCAAGCATTAATGAAAAGAATTATAAGAAGCTCATCTGTGGGCACTATTGGGTTTCAGATAATCCAATATAAACTACCTTTGATATGAAAAGTTCTTAAAATATTTTACGGAATGTAAGCAATTTGCAGTATAACATTCATTGAAATCTCATAAATGAGCCTCATTTTATAAATAAAAGTTTAGAATAGAAATATATTGCAAGGGGGTTTTGTCAAGTAAGTACTGGGAAATGTAAATATTTTTAATGAATATGATTAAAACCATTTCAAACTTACATAATTTTATACTTTACATTTTTTATATCTGCAGTCCTGAAAGTTGTAAATTGATATGTCAGTTGAATTAATGGGCCAAGGTTTCTGCTGAGAGTGGTTTTTATTCAGGTCCTAAATGTGTAAAGTAATTTATGGTCAAAACCACAGAAAAAAATAAATTTAATTTCTTCATTGGTTGTGACCTGATAGGATCCATGCTCGTTTCTGCCATACTACCTCTGGAGTTACTCATTGCTGATGATATAAAGGAAATAATTTTGATTTGATTTGTATTATGACTGTGTTCATTCTGCTTTTAGTTGGATGTATCTCCTTGCTATTAAGAACTTAACAACTTTAGTGCCAATTTTGGAGAAAGCTTTTTTTTCCATTTTACTAAGTAAAGCATGAAGTGAATTTGCCTTATGTGATATACATGTTATAAATAATTGAAGTAAAACAAAAGAACTATCCATTTGTACAGTTTCTGGAGATGTGGCAAATCCAGAACTTATCAAAGACTGGTGACCAATTTATTTGTTCCTTTTGAAGTAAAATAGAAAAATAAGCCTTCCTTATTTTGGTGGTTGTAACTGTTTCACAGATGGCATTTCAGTTACTTGCACGCACATTTTCCCAGTGCTTTTCAAAAACTTTTAAGTGACAAAATACTTTCACGTTATTAAAAAGAACCCTTTGTCTTTGCACTGGCCCTTCACTGAGCAGTACCACCATATCTTGGTTTTCTGAGGAAACTAATGTTGGTACTTGTAGTTCAGTAACCTTCCAGAGACCTTGGAGAATGTGGGTTTTTTGTTTTTGATGGGATCAAGAGTAGGTTGGGTTTTTGATGCTTTTTTGTTTTTAAACAAAAGAGTAACTCTCATGTCCTGGGGTATCTTGTAATTCGAAACAGAAATATTTATATAAACTTTCAAGATCATCATTATGACCAGTTATTACGATGTGGCTCTAAGTATATTTGAGGATGTTTTGCATTTCTTTCTTTTGTAAAAGACCAAAGGAAAAATAAAAATATCTGGAGGGCACATTTACAAAATTACATACATCACACACACACTCATACCCCCCCCCACACACGCATACATTGTTTTTTAAAAAGAGGGAATACAGTATTTGCACCTGTGCTTAGTGCTTAGTGTTTATTACCGAGGTGGTTTTTTTGTGGGAAGGAGAGCAGTCAAGAAGACTAGCATTTTAGAAACTTATCCCTAGAATATACTGCTATATTTGAATATAATGCTATATTTGAACAGATTTTCTTGATCAATAATACATACTTTTGACAGAAATGTTTCATTCCTTAACTAGGCAAACTATTAAATTTCAAAAGGTTAAGTGTATTTCAAGTAATTCACTATTATATCATGTAAGACAGGTTTTTTTTCATTATTGGAATATACTCATGTCTAACATCATGGAGCATGTACTTTTCTCTTAGTGACTTTTTCATTTTGTCCTAACAATTATGTAAGTACCAGTATTATCCCCATTTTACAGATCAGGGAAGTGAAGCTTGGAGAAATTGAGTAACTTGCCCTACGTCACATATCTGGTAAGTTACTGAGCCAGGAATTAAATTTAGGTAGTCACCACACTTCTAACCACTGCTTCCCATCTTTAAAGTGGAAGAAGTTATCTTCAAGGAATTACTTATTGTACTTCTCAGTCCACTTCTTGGCAGCATCTATAGCAAGCAGAGCCTCAACCTTATTTAGAAAACAACCTCCCCCACTCTTACACCACCAGGCAATCAATGTTTTGTTTTGTGCTTCCAAGACTGAATGCATTAGATCTAACTTTGGCTTCTAGCCATCCGCCAAGCAAGCCCAAACCAATCCATTTATCCTCCTCTGTCGGCCAGACCTAGCCAGTAAGTGCTTACAGTTCTCAATCAGCGCAGAGCCAGGGACCTAGATCTGGGCCTGGACTTGCCTGAGTTTTAGCCCCTTCTGGACCTTGGTTTCCTCATCTGTAAGATGAGCAAGTTCCCAAAACTCCAGAAAGGAGGCCACTTACAAACTTGGTGAAGGGTTAAATGTGGCCCATGTGCCATTGGTTTCTCCCCAAGGAGACAGTCCAGAGCTGCTTTTTTTTTTTTTTTTAAGTCATTGATGTCATCAAGGCTGACTAGCATATGGACAGTTGTATTCTATCATGTAATGCAGCTGAGTTTGTGTGGAACCAATAATTCTAGCCAGCTTCAGTGACTGCAGGTCTCCAAAAGTCACAAGAAATCTTCTTCAGAGGTGTCAGTGAAGGAAACAAGACAATACAGTACAGTAGAATATCAGAGAATTTGGTGAGTGTGGATTTAATCCCTTTTCTCTACCACTTCGTTGGCAGGTGAGTTTAGTATCTTCATATCTCTGAATTTGGATCATAGGACGAATGGGTAGTATTAAGTAATCTGTAACATCTCCACCAGCTCTGATACCACGGGAATCAAATCTCCCACTTCCCCAGGCGGTTCCCTTACTTTCAAGAAAAATCACCTTCCCTGTTACTGTCACTATCCATTAACTTACCAGCACCATTCAAAAGATTCAGTAACAAACCAGACCTTCTATACCTTCCTACCATGCCTTTTCCTTTTCCTATTATCCGAAGGGGAACTGTTTATTTCAAACACGGACTTCAAACTTTTTAGCTGTGGCTTACTGCAAAGCTTGAAATTTTAACACAGAGAAGAAGGTAACACTAAGCCACATATTTCTCCAGCAATGACTAACTTGGTACCAAATTTTAGGCTTGGGCTATCTTTAAATGAGGTCTTCTGTGTCATACTAAGAGTTCTGTGTGTACTTAAGTATTTGTGTACTTGAGACATTTTGTTGTGTTCATGAAATCTCCCTCGTAATAGCATTGCATATTTGAACAAAACCCCTACTTCACTGGCTAATTGATTAGAATACTATTGTAAGTCAAGACAACAAAGTATCTGTGAACATTGACCCTTTTCAGAGTGAACATTATCCTCAGGAAAGCCTATGATTCTGCAATTACCTTTATCGCTAGAACAAAATTAGGTTGACTCCAATCACAAAAAGAAAATCATTCCGCCTTCAGTATACAAACTATTGATTTGGTCAACAGCATATTCTACAGCAATCGCATTTTCCATTTGCCCATGTCAAAAACTTTTCACCATCAGTGTCTAGAAGAACTCTGTGTTCTTCCTCTGCTCAGTGCCAGCGCCACTGGAGGTCGTGGGCACACACAGTTCTGTCTTACTGATGCCTGTCTCATGTGCTCTTCTCACTGCCGTAAGTAGCTTTTGGTTAGTGACCACATGAGCCCAAATCAGGGGTAACCAAGATGCAGGATCTCCGCTTTCAACATGGTGTCTGTGCAATCTGCTGAGGAATAAACTATTACAAACAAACCATATATGTGGGTTAAGGGTCTAGCTCCAAGCTAGAAATCAAGGTGGCAGTTGCTCTGTGTTCACATCTGGAGGCTCAAGGAGGGGAGGGTTCACTTCTAAGCTCCCTCAGGTTGTAGACATTTCACTTCCTTGTGGCTATAGCACTCTTAGTAATTTGCTTCTTCGAAGATAGCAGTGGAAGAGTATTTCTGCTATGTGAAGTCTCTGCTTCAGAGAAGCCTAGGCCTTCTTGACAGGCTCATCTGATTAGCTCAGGCCCATGCAGCCTGGTCAGCTTTAACTTAGCTAACCTTAATCACATTTGTAAAATCCTTTCACTTGCTCTACTCTGTTCGAAGCAAGTCACAGGTCTCACTCCCACTCAAGGGGAGGGAATTACACAAAGACATAGATACTAGGAGATGGGAATTATAGGGCCACCCGTAGGTGTAACTGTCACATCTGTGTAATTGGATTAGCTCTGGTCCACTGACTGCTCGCCCTGCCTTCCCCCACCTCAGTATTTTGGATTAACTTCAAAAGAACAACATATTTTTAATAGATAAACATTTAAGGTACACTGTAGTGCAAACATTTTGCTATTTTATAAATCATAAATTCCACAGTCCTGGGTGTTAGGCAGGAGGTCAGGTTCAGTCTGGCCATAAGCCTGGCCATCACTGGCATGAAAGCCTTGTGGGAGCTGGAGGGGATGAGATCAGGTAGAAAAGGAGGAGGAATAGCAGAAGAGTGAACAGCCGAACCTCAGCACCCATGTGGCAGAGGAGTGGGGAGGGGCAGAAGAGACGGGGGAGCCATCAGGGAGGATGAACCGTGAGCCAAGGGTGTCTAATTTCCTTCGGAAGAACCATGCAGAGATAGAGTACAAGAGGGTAGATGTGAGAGGTGTGGTTGGTAAGGAAATAGAGGTGATGAGAGTTTAGCAGGGGGATAAAAAGTCAAGTAATGACACAATGAGAAAGCCTGAGTTCAAGTCCCCTCCAGCACATCTAGCCATCACAAGCACCTCAGAGAGCTTTGAAAAGTACATACGTGTGGGGTCTCATCCCAGGCTGGTTGAATCAAGATCTCCAAATGTGGGTCGGGATACCAGTGTTTTTTGTTTTAGTTCTTTTGTCTGTTCATGTGATCGTTTAGTTGACTGGTTTTTTTGTTTGTAAGTTCAACAGATGGTGTTTGTTGGTTAGAGGTGAAGTTAGGAATGACTGGTCTAATCTTTCTGTTTACTAGTTTAACTATGGGCAAGTAAGTTTACTAAAAAGCTCAGAAGGGATTTCCTTAGCTGTCAAGAGGCGGGGGTTAATAATTTCCCTAGTCCCTAATACAAAGAATGCCTCTCACTGAGCAAGCTCCATGGCCACTAGAAATACTGCTGAATATGAAGCATTCCTTGTAACAAATGCCGTTCCCCCACTCTTCTAAGGTTTTGAGACTGTATGCTTTAAAAAAATAATTCATGTTTAGTTCATGAATTAAAATTGTGGTTATTTAGATTCTCTACAGCAATTCGTAAATATACCTCACACTTTCCCATTCCAAGCAATCTTAAGTTCTAATCTAATCACCTCCAGAACGTCACTGTGCTCAAAGACAATTATTCCCCCGTGATGATCTAATAACCTCTTTTCAAATGCTCATTCACTCCAGTGTTAGAGGTCTTCAGGCTTTCTAGACCTCGGCTGTCAGTATCCCCTTTCCAACTGTATACTACTACTCAGGTATTTGACTACAAGAACAAAGTTACTGCCTTCAAGAAGCTGTTCAGGAGAATTTTGCTTGCATAACATTTACACAGCACTGGAGCTTCTCTTTCCCAGGACGTCTTTGCTTCTCTGTACTCCTTTCTGCCATGATTTGAATACCATTTTTATCCCAGTGACTTTAAAATGTTAATCTTTAGCACAGACCTCTGCTCTGCGAATTCCACTCTTCTACATCTGAGGCTTTGTTGACACCAGGACTCGCAAGTCTCACAGACATGCCCAAACATGTCTTGCCTGTTGACTCCCACATCAGCTACCACCACCTCTGCAGGCCACCTCCACACACCCCAGACTCCACCCTCTCAGCCATGGCACCTTCATGCACCTAACCATTTCGATTCCTCCCTTTCCTCCTCCCACCCCCATTCGAATCCATCCACAAGTCTTTTGACATGAGCTCCCCAAT